TATCGTTGCAGCCCTAATATAAATAAACTTTTACTTACTTACTTTATTTAAATCTTTCCTGTTACTTCCTTTACTAGCCATGGTGGGCACAGTTAACAAAACTTTAGCTAACACTAACAGCTAAAAAGAGTAAAAATTAGCAGAAGCTAACACTACCAGCTAATTGCTAACCGCTAAGATGACTGTCACTCAGTCTGCCTCATGGCTTCGYCTCCTCCAGCTGCAGACTGGTGGGTCTGACACAAACCTGTTGATGTTAGCTTGTTAGTTAGTGCTAAGCAGACTTAAAGTTTACAAAACACAATTTAGCAGAAGCTAACTGGTCTGCTAACTGTTTTCAAAGTTAGTGAGAAAGCTAATGTGCTAAAGGAAAATGTTTTTCTACTATTACTTACTATCTGATTAGCAGATTRCCCAGTACTGCAAACTAGAACTACTTAAAGCATTAACTATAAACAAACCTGTACTTTATAGTTTCAGCCTACACAAGAAACATTGGTTCACTATGAGACGTAGCTAATTATCTAATGAAACACACTTAAATTATAACCTGAATGACTAAACAGTAAGTAGTTTTTATACATATCCTCTAAAAGTTCACTGAATCAGCTGAAGAGCTAATTTACAAAGAAGCGTGTCAGTTTCCAACCTGAACGTGGTAGACCTTCCTGCGCAGCATCTTCTAAACTTTACCCGGGATGGCAAATAAAAAAACTAAACGTAAAGAAGTCTAACTCCTGCCCCTCTTTTCCCTTCGAAATTAGCTCTCAGCTGCATAAAATGCCCAAATGTGTGTGTGTGACAGTGAGCGATATTGTAGAAAAAAAAGGGGTAGGGAGGGGCGGTGAGGGTTAGTGGAAAGACAAGAGGGCGGYGAGGCAGAGATAGAAGGAGAGAGAAGTTGAAAGAGGGAATAAAATGATGACTGAGCTTGTTTTCCAATTAAACCTTATCTGCGCGTGGTGTTGTAGCCCTGGAGAAAGAGTGTGTGTGCTCTGGATGCTGCGCTGCACCGCCAGCTGTCGTAGTAATTGGACACAGAAGACTATCTCAGGGCTGCACACTGTTGTGATCCGTATGTGTGAGGAAAGCATGAATTGGTGAGTGGAGGAAAAGTTAATTTCCTACATGCTACGTGTGTGTGTGTGTGTGTGTGTGTGTGTGTGTGTGTGTGTGTGT